CAATCCTTTTTTTCCTTTTTTAATATCATAAAAGACTTGCGACTTTCGACTTACTTTGCTATCACAGGTCACATATATCTTACTTTTATTGCAATTACATTAAACATTAATCAGTGCTTACCCTCAAATCTGTTATTATAATACCAAAGTCAACCATTCCAGTAGGCTACATGTACATGCTACATGTTAATTTTTGTTTTAAAAAAGACAAAGGGAATTCTTAAATGTGAGTCATAACTGACAGAATAGCAACATGATTGACAGGGAGTCAAATTCTGCCACAGTTATGTCAGTCCTAATAACAAATTAAGTGTGGATAAACTCCTCGTACTGATTCCAACTTTACTTCTATCATGATAAAAAACCTTAAGATTTATGATTTATTAAAATGAATGAAGTACTACTCTTACTGACATAAAGTGTGTAAAATGATGATATTCTGAGGATACATAAGACTAAAAATCAACAGTCTATATTTACAACTAGACAGATTAACTGTACTTCACATCTGCTAACAAGAAGAAGTCACACACTCAGTTTGCCTACATATTGTAATGTCAATATTATCACAATTCATCTTAAACTGATTCATATAATCATGGGTTATTCTGACACAGTAGCAAATTGTCAACATTACAGTAATATTGAATAAGTTCAATTTGAACTCTTCAACCTGTTAAACTGTTGGGATCAGATAACTTTGTATCTAGGGTAAACATACATACACATAATATATAGGCTGCCAGCTAGGCAATTAAACATAGGCCCCTACATCCACACCAGCTAAGTGGTCTAGGTAGTCCATAAAGCAAAGTTTGTGGTCAAGAACCCATAAAGTAATTACTGAATTTGTTCAAATTTTATAGGCTTCTTCCTAGCGCTAAAACAATTAAGAATTTATGAAAACGCGTAACTTCAAGTCAATATTCACATAATCTCATAACCAGTGTCGACTGAAACTGACATCTTAGTCCATTAATAAATCGTTGACTGCTGCAAATCGCAATATACAACCAATTTCATATTTTTGATCCTACACATTAAAATATGGATGCATAAAAATTATAGACCTACTGGTACATATAGGCATCAGAATGCATGTAAATTATTTGTATTTTTGCCAGGGCATTGAAATTCTACCAAACTGCATGTACATTTATTTTTTTTAAAGGGTTTGTTATTGAGTTCCGTAACACTTCCATCAGTCCTGAAGGCAATAACTTTACAGCGAGAATCAGTTCCTTATGTATCAATTTCTTTCCTTGTTTTCATATGGAACACATTTTATAATAGCCAAGAATTGATTGCTGTGTCCGCTACCTTTCATGGTCTTTGTGAAGCATTCTGCTGTATAAATTAGTATAAATATTTGATTTGGTGTTGTGTTTCTTATTTATGTATTTAATATTATTTTTTCCTTAGCATTATTAGGTTTATTGAGTACGATACTGCATTGTACTTTCAAATATGTTGTGTCTAAATAAGGTATCAAGCCAACTCAGGTCAAATGCAAACAACAGAAAAAAAAACAAGTTATCAAGTTTTAATTGTTCATTCCTTTGATTGTCATACTTAATGTTCAACCAAATAGGCCCCTCGATTCAAGCTGAATCTGGGAGGTAGTATATGTAGGCCTGACATTTTTATTGTCGGAAAAAAGGCATCAGTCACTGTCTGTCAATTTGTTCAGCACTGCTTAGTTTCTATTATAATGTATTTAATACCTGTTCAACACAATGTTAAAATACCAGCAGGTAGATATACAATAAAGATAGGTTGCCAGGCATACGTCTACAGCAGCTAAATCGTCCGAGCAGCCGACAAAGGTTGTCACACATTTATTCTTTTGTAGGTAATGGAAGCTTTTACAAGACACTGATATCAATCAGATCAGATGATAACTTTTGTCATCAGAGGGTTCTTACAAGGTTCAACAAAGTGAAACAAGTGCCATAACTTTAGAAGCTATATATACGGAAATTGATAAAATTCTATATCCTTCTACGTTTTACTAATCTAAATAATGCATATTAATTTAATACAGATCGGATGAAACAAGGGCCATAATTGTAAAAGTAATTAAAAGAAATTACTGAAATTCAATAGGTTTCTTTGTTTTATGTGGGCATATAAAAATCATTATTTCAAGAGTCTGCTTTTACATCTTCAGGGATTAAAGTATGAGCAAGTAAACACACCTTCTTGGTAAACTAGATTTAAATTCACATACAAATGTGTTCTGACTACTCAAAGAATTTCAAATACTACAAATATTTCTTTTAGTTATAATAAAGCAAGTCACCCCATTTCACTTTTGATGTCCTCTGGCAGAAATCTGTATTCTCATGAATTGTCTGCCTTTAAGGTTTGTTAACCTTTAATCATCTAACTGTTAACTTTGAAGACATTTGTCTACATGTAGATTGTAAACAGAAAACAGCTCATTAACAAAAGAAATATCCTTAATAAAAATTTAAATAATTCGAATAGACAGAAATAGAGTGGTAAACAACAAGTTTTTGTTCCTTCACTTTACAAATGAAGATGACGACCTTCTCCAGAGGTACACCATACTCAAACATCTATATGTGTGTACCTGATAATAACAAACAGTCTACTAGATAATACATACCAACATGTACATGTACATGTAACTTGAAGGATTATTAAACTTTTCATTATCTTATTTTGAGCTCCATTAATAAAGTATTTAAGACATTAATGCATACCTTTCAGCAACATGAATTATTATTATTATCATATATAATGCCCTGCAGTTTCATCTAAGTTAAACCAAAAAAAAATAACAACATTGTATTGTATGCAGTCATAAATCTATGTGAGATTTCTATTGACATACTGTATTTTTTATATTACCGTAAAGGCGCAAAGGCATTAATGTTTTCTGAATAAGACAATTTTCAAAGTCAAGTATATCTATAACAATTGTTTTGGCAAGATTTCTAGACTTTGGTTCTGTAGATGATTGAAAAGCAGTAGGTATTGTGATCGTGCAATATATTATAAAATATAGTAATACATTTATAGTGCATATGGTAAGTTTTAATAATAATGAAATATCAACAGAATGACACAAAACAAAGTGACAATGTTTTACCCATGACATGGGTTTTATTCAGGGTATCTTTCTGGAACAGCTGGTATCACTGAGCAATGAAGTTTTGTTGGCGATGAATGATGTCCTTTGACAAGTTTGTGTGACTAATTACTTTAGATCCATCTGGCATAGAAGTTAAACTTTGGCACTTATGTGCAAGGTAGCATACTTTTACTTTATACCGGTATGTAGCACTAGCAGTTCATCATATAATTAAATTCCTCATTCAACAACACTATTTTCGGACTGTACAGCTTTTGTTTCTTGCAAGTTATTTCTATTTTGTTCCTTTTTGCTCTCAGATACCTTCTCATCAAGACATACCCCCATTACCCACTTAATATCAAGCTGAGACTCACACAAGGCTGGGAATCAATCCAAAAAGTCTGTGATTAGACTAGAAATTAGTCAAATTAAAAACTTACAATACAAATTGTCTAGATGAAAGAGTATACATACTTGACAAGATAAGAAACTGAATGCATTCACATTTAATATTAATAAATGTCTTGAAGGTAATCACCTAGACACTATCATAATTAATGAGTAATATTTAAACTATTAATTAAAGTACATCTATTAATACAGGTACTAATAATGTTTACATGACACCTAATTACCTGTGTAATCAGTGTATATCATGGGAACTACATCTACATGTATAAATGTAATATAATAATAACTGGTTTATATATACACAGGTATTGTTGTGGAGTCAATAGCAATAATATTAATGTTACTCAGATCTGAATGTTTTTTTGTTTTGTTCTACCTTTAACATTTAGATCACATTATTACTACCTGTGTATATAAAATCAGTTTGTGTATTTATAGTTTATATAAATCAGGTTAAATCAGTTATTATTATATTACATGTACATGTAGATATAGATTGATAAGACTAATAAGAGGATATTTATAGAAACTTTGTGATTAATAAATGTATAGGCACACTTTTAAGAAACCAGTGATTATTGGTTTAGTTACAGTATGTGTAATGACATAACAATATAGATCACATACAATCTTTCTTTTTAAAAGAAGGAACTAAATGATACACTTTGAGGTATTTATGACTTTTGGTACCATTGTTAAGGCCGGGGCAATAGCAAAGTACATACATTTAGTCTCTAGAGTTTTAACTATTTTCTAAATCTGGATATAATTATTTTTGACATTTAGCCAAGAGAGTTCATTCACAAATGTATCATTATCATAATTAAATTGTCAAAAGATTAAATGAGTCAGCTACACACAAAAAATGCTCGTACATGTACATGTAATTACTAGTTCAGAAACTATGAATAAATCAAATATATTCACACAGCACAAAATTTAAAGGGGCACTAGGTAAGATTAGACAATGAGCTGACAGTTCTTGCTATAATAGTTTTAAAAAACGATAAGGAAATGAGAATATGCTGAAATTCAGTCAAATTGCTTCACTCTGAACCTAGATATTACTATTACTATTAGCTGTTCAATTTTAGGCTAGCCTCAATCGTCATTAGGCCTACTAACGTTCAGATAGTAAACAAAGTCTTGATTATCCATTTATACGGTTATTTCATCCAAAACAAAATGTAATCTAATCCACTAACTATCGCAGGCATTCGATGACATCGAGAGTTCATATTATGATCTTGGTTATAAGTTGTTAACTAATGTATTTTTAATTTAGTAAACATCTACTAAGCCTATATAAGGCCTAAAGAAACACCTGCAATAGTTAGATTTAGCTCTTGTAATGCATATTTAATCCTCTTCATCATGTAACACACGAAGAAGAAGATTCCGGATATTTGTATTTTTTTTGGCTTCGTAAATCCCCCTCCAAAAAAACAGTTATTCTGATTTATACCGTCGTAGTAAGTCTACTTACATAATGTTTACTAGGGATCCGTCGTTTTTCCACATCAGTTACATGTACTTCTGTTATGGACTTCATTTTGAGAATAGTAAACTCCAAACTTTTGAATTATATATATTCACACCACTACATTCTAATCAAAAAGAACATTTTACTCAGCTGTAACAACTTAACGTTAAAATAATGTCAATAACAGTAAAGCCTTCTCACATTGGTGAAACTCCCGGAAATAACGAATTTTTACGTTACAAAAATGTCACGTGATGTGTAGGAATTCCCTTAAAACAAAACTGGTTTCAGTTGATCATTGGTCTAAAAGTATAACGGAAACCGGTTGCATCGACTGTCTTACGCGTGACTCACGGGATATACCTTCAGAATCAGGAGCGCTGTATTAACACGATAAAGTAAGAATATCTTGAGTCAGACGGTTTTTGCATTACCATATGATTTTGACTGTACGCTAAGAAAATTATGTGTTTTGTTAGATCTTGACCTTATATTAATAACAGGAAATATTTAAATAATTACTAACAATTGTAAACCGAGGAGATAATAGACCTTATTTAATTACACAACTAATATTTATAACATGTAAACATATGTCTGTGATAAAATAATTGCAATATACACGGTCTTGACAATATAAAGTGATAGTTTGAATAACATTGACAATAAAAGTATTATAATCATTTTAAAACAAATAGGTTTCTTTTGTTGACAAAAAGTATGGAAAGTTGCCAGGCCACGTATCTTGATCAAGATAGGCCTACCATTAGATTTTATTGTACATTCGTCATTGTACATACTATAAACCATCAATAATTAACTTAATTAAGTGCAGCATACACTACATAACATACATCTACACAAACAACGATAAATTACAACATGGCAAATAATTTATACTTTAACAGGCATAAAGCTCAAATTCAATATTATATAAATTTATATAAACACAAATTATTGGTCCATTGCAAATTACAATAAATAGGCTGCTGATGTTCTTAACACAAGATACAGTTAGTTTTATGGATACACAATTACTGAGTTTAATACTACAACGTTTCGACTGATGTTGTTATTGTACCATGAAAATATGGACTCCTGATAACAAATATTTAAGACACAGTTAATAATTTTAAAAACCTAGTAGACGGGCATGTACTCTATTCTCTCAAGCGTGATTTGTGAAGAGACGCCTTGACGAACCAGTTTAAATGTCAATGCATAAGTGAAATTTCAAAATGTAGGCCTTCCGATGTAGACTGCACTAATAGGACTCGGCTGATCACTTATTTTGATGAACAAAACTGAATAGAATTTTCATTAAATGTTTAAAATAATAAATGTAAATCAGTGTATCTATTACATTAATTTGTGCATTTTGACCCATTTTTGTCCATTTTAGGTTCCAAAGAATATAGATTTAGCTCCTCTAATAACATTATTGATATAATATAGCTGATATCAGACCAGGACTCTTTTATTTTATTAATTATTATTGAATACAATTATTTTATGTAAACAGGTAATTGTAATTTTCCAGGTGTATTCAGATGTGATTAAACTGTGTACATGTACTACAAACAGACAGCTGATAATACATGTACAAGTACCGGTATATATATATAATATTATGCCCAGATATTCTTTTGGTATTTAAAATTTATTAGCAAAGCAGTTTTTGAATATTTGTTGCAATATTACATGATTATTATTCATGGTGGTTATTTTTTATATTTAAATTCATTCTTTCACTTTCATTCAGGTAAATTATTTGAAGTGAATGATATTTCATGCCAGAAACTAAACAAGGACAATCAGATTAAATCCCTGCACTGGAGACCTTTAAAATAGTAGGTCAAACCTGTATTGTTATTGTGGTTAGTTATTTACTATGGAGGTGGACATTAAAAGAAGATATAAAAAAGATATGCCTGACTAGCTTTGTTAATAATGTAACAAAATGCCACCTGCAGTGTGGATATGGGTCATTTAGTTTATATGGCATGAATGAATGTCACCAATGGCTAAATTGTCAAGAAATAGATACAGAATTGGTTGTGAATGAACAGATTGGAGAAGGGGCTGTAAAAAAAGTAAGAACATATATATATACTGGCAAAATATTGCAAAACTATTCTTTAACAGGACAGATTTCTTAAACTCAGTTATGAGGTTTTCTCCCATTTATATGTCAATATTGATACCATTTCAAAGCCAAATTATTATAATGATTAGGAAATATAATAATGTGATCTAAAAAGGCCATACCTTTATAACACATTTGTATGGTGTTGCATAATAATTTGGGTGAGACACCTTTATGGTATACAAATACATTCTTCTCAACAGCTACTGAATCGCTTTAGTTCACATCAATTTAAAATTCATGAGAAACTGAATGTTACCAAATAAGATTGAAATATTAAATCAACACTATTATTTCATAGTAAGGATATATGATGTAAAACTAAAATATAAGTATATTAATTTAAAGATACATTATGGGAGATTTTTATAAGGAGTTAGCCATTCTTGCTATAACAGATCAAAAATAGATGATGAAAATTTCAGTCAAATTACTTTATTCTGAACATAGTTATCACCACTCACCAGTGTAATTTTTGACTAGAAATGGGATTGAATTCCATCTTCACCGATTCTTAGTATGGCCGATCGTTTGATTGACAGGCGTTAACTCCACCTACATAATCTCTGCTGTCTTTTGTCTGCTGTCATCATATCCGAATTTGTGTTTTACCTTTTTGGATTTTTATAACAATTGGACAAAATGAGTGAGAGGGTCAATTTTCATTCTTACTTGTATTTTGGGCATGCATTAAATCAATTGAATATAGGACATAATATTATAATACAATTGTGATAAATCTATAGGTATACACCAGTGGCGCCGTGCCTATTGGGGAAATAAAAATATTTTTATTGATATCATTAAGACAGAAGACCTGTCTGTCTGTATTAGTCATCACACGGTCTCCAGGAATTGTATAATTTGTCATTATCTGTTTTAGTTTATTGCACTTTAAATAGTTTAGATGTCATTTGTTAAGGCATCGCTTCGTACACTCTATCATTTAGCCTTGAACCGGGAGTATGACGTAAACGTAACGGTTAATCTCCGCTCATGATGCCATTTAAAATTAAATCAGTCAACGAAATCCCGTTTAAATCCAAGCTGAATCCAGGCCATCCGTGGGTCTACAGAGTTGATTTTGTGCTTGATGTGTAAATAAAGATCTAATTTATAATTTCTATGACATCTGAAGCCTAAATAAAGACTTGCAATAATCAGATTTAGCTCTTGCATTATGTATGTTTAACTTAAATTATATTAACTAGCCTACATTAATTTAAATATGAACTGTGTCAGGCAGTGTTACTATTCAGCAGTTACATACAGTTATATTTCAGCCACATGGAAATGAGTCAATTGACATCATATGTTAGAAAAAATTGCTCATATATTCCAAACTCCACCACAAATGTTATCACTCACTTTTAATCATCATGGTTATAATTTATTAGCTACAATTACAACCAGCACATTAATTGTCAATGCCATTGCTTTCTTGTTATTTTTAATTTGTATTTATTATATTCAATAACTGATAAAATTAAATCAGTTTCTTTTGTTATAAAACAATTGAGCTAAGACTGGTATTACCACTGATATCATGGAAGACAAATTTAGATCTTGTATTTACAACAATTATACCTATTTTCTTGTGTTTACCCCTTTTTTCATTGCAAATTGTGGTGAGGTTTTTTATCTAGAATATAATAGAATCGAAGGAGAAGGCTTGAATTTATATTTTCTTTGTCAGGCTTCGGTTATAATATTTTTCATTATGAGGCATAAAAAGCAGGAGATATATAGAGATGTTCAACCTCCTTCAGTAATTTTATCAAATGACTGCGTTATAAAGTTGAGGATCATCGCAATGTTTAAAAAAATGTAATAGGCCACAAAATGGCATAGATTTTCATTGAAGTCAATGTGGAGAGAATTAAAAGTCCAGTTTTGGCAATAGCCTCAGTTATCTCCCTTAACACATTTTCATATTTATTTATAGCTAATAATTGATTTACATGTCTATTGTTTATGGTTTCCTTCCTTGTTCCATGTTAAGATGTGTAACATGTGCCAGGATAAAACTTCATTTTATAGACAGCATATGAAATATTATACATAAGTTACACAGACTACAGGACTGGGGTAAGAATAGAGTAGTTATCTCCCTTTATGTATTACCCATTTCGTAATTGACGTTCTTTAATTTGTTGAATGTTTAAAAATGTTTATCCTATGTTGCAGGTCTATCTTGGCCAATGGAAAGAAAATACTATTGTTATTAATAAGGTGAAAAATCCAAATTTTAGAGACGATTTTCAGGATGGTTTGACCAATTTGATGAACTTTCAACCAGACACCCATGTTGTCCAGCTTATTGGTTATTGTTGGGATTCAGATCTGTTTATAACTGAATATCATGAATTAAAATCTGCTGATAGAATAGAACAAATATTTTACAAAAACCAACATTTAGACCACCTTCAAAAAAGATTTGAATTATGTTTAAAGTATATAGAAATTATCAATTTTTTACACACAGGTCTTAATGAAACTAGGGTAATGTGTGACTCAAATGAACCCCACAAAGCCCTTTCACAACTTCTCGTACGGGATGATTTAAGCTTGATATTAAATGATGCTGACGCCCTTCCTCAAGTGAATAGAAGCCGAAACGAACTAATAAAATGTGGTCATAAAGAATTAACTGGTGCTTATGTCGCTCCTGAACAGTTGTGGCCCTTTGATTCAACTTTCAGTGACTCCCACATGCCAGGTTATGATGAGAAAACAGACATTTGGAAAATACCTGATGTTTGTAAAGTATTATTTAATGAGAGACCTGGATCAACTGGTCTACTTTTAAAATTATTTGATATAAACAGCCGTTGTAAAAATGAAAATCCTTTGGAGAGACCAACGGCTCAGGAAGTGTATCTGATGTACCAGAAGGTGTACAATAATATCTTTAATATTAACCACTTTGAATGAATGACTTGTTATATTTTATTAAAATCACATGAACTTGATTTCTTGACACACTTTATTGAAGGATTAGAATATTCCCTATTATACATACTATCATGGGCACTGCTATGATGGATTAGAATATTGTCTATGGTACAGACTAGGCCCTATCATGGACACTGTTTAAAATATTCTCTAATGTACATACGATTATCATCGACAGTGCTATGACCTAGTCAAATTATACACATTTCAAAACATGCCCCTACAAATATTTATAATTTTTAAAAAATTGTGTCCCAATCATAGACTCTGAGCTACAGTGGTGGCCTCAAGGGGTAACATAAATTCATGGTTAGTGCTAAATGATGAGGCCAACTCAATTTTTCGTCATTGGTAACGAGATGTAAACAGGGCTAGCGCTAATCCCGACCCTGGACCTAACCCCAGTACTTACCCCAACCCTAACCTACAATCACGTGCCCTAACGTTATTTAGCCTACATTTCGGCGACCTTGACCAAAAAATGATCTGGCCTTAAGCAATTTAGTCATCAATTCCTGGTTTAATTTTATTTCATAGAAAATGAGGAGGAGGATCGGGTCATATAATTATTTCATGTATCCAAAGAGTTTGAAGTTGATATATTCAGATACTCCCCTATTCCCTTTTATTATCAAAGTAAATTGTAGACTTCTCGGAGGTGCAACAATTGGTCCGCATTGGTCTAACTGTGCACTTTGGATCATCAGGTCTGTCAGTGACACTACACATTGAAATGAAATTGAATCATATGTAAGTTATTAATGTCGAGTGACAGCCAACATTAAATGCAAGTATTGACATGGTGTATCTAGTGGCCACGGAATGTAAAACAAATTCAATGTAATGGTATTGAAAACTATTTTATTTTGTATTACAACATTTAATACATGCGGTATTGACAAATATTGTATTGTCCACAGTACATTCCACCACAGCAGCCTCTACCTCCTCCACACATCTGACCATAACTTTTACAGTTCTATAATAAGATATTTATAACTATTATACTTTACATAATATTATCAGGTGTCTAACCTTACCTGATTATTAATAAACAATACATTTCTGTAGCCATGGTGCAGGCAGCCTTAGAAAATATCATGAAAATGAAATGAAATGAAATGGGGTTTAACGTCCTACTGTTCTGATCCTATCTGGGCTAATGAAGACGGGCATACGCCATACTGTGTGCTTTGAGGGAAATTTTGCCCGGGCAGCGGCACTATCGCCTACTCTTATATCGAATTCCAACTGCCAAGGGATCTTCACGCGCATTCCAATGTATACAAGGGACCTCGGCTTTTCGTCTCATCTGAAGGACTATATACAGCTGTCCTTGTCAGGCCCTCTGTTCTGCACCACTGACAAGGGGAAATCCCGATGAATTTTCTCGGCCAATGCAGGGATCCCGACCTCCTGGCTAGCGAGTCAGCGTCTTACCCACGCCTCCGTGGATCCAGGGACATATTAGGGCTGGATAAAAATGTGTCTGTGAGGTGGGGGGGGGGCTGCAGTTCCAAGGGACCCCCCAAATAAGTTCGAAAAAAAATGTAAATAAATTGATATGTTATTACTATGTTACCTAATGTTTCCTGAGGAGACATTCAATTTTCAAGACAACCCAGGTGCATGCTCTTGAATATGCCCTTTTTACGGTTGATGCAAGGGTCACAGGGGCTTCATGCAAGCTTAACCCAGCCCTGGTAGTACTTACAATATTGACACCTGGAACTAGTCTTTTTACATTCATGCCGTCTTCATTTCCAAATGAACGTGCAGAACATGCACCCACCAACACCAAAAGACAGATAATAATCACACAGCGCATCGTAACCTGAAAATGAAATAACCAAAACACTGATTGTAAATACATGTACCTTAAAATCAAGGAAAATATCTAAAAATTCCGAACAAGGTTAAGTATTTTTTTTGTTCATTTTGATTTTGAAATGCACAAAAACACAATTTTACTTCAAGATAAATAAGGGTCGCCTCACAGAGAACAACATGGATGGGTATCGCTGCAATATTAAATGATCTGCTACAATGTCTTTTCCATTGATTATATGTAAAAAGTACAATGTACAAAGTTGTAATACCGGTAATGAGTCTAATGACAAAAGTCAAAATACCTCTAAGGCAAGAGTTAAATGTAAAACGTCAAATGTTAAGTGTCAAATGACAAATGTTTTGTGGGAAAATGCTTTTTTCGAGGTTTCTACATTTTACATTTCTCTCATTACATTTTACATTTGCGCTCTGCCACATCCCATTTGTCCTTCACGCTTTCTACATAGCATCATTGTCGCAGAGCCTTTAATATTGGCAGCGATACCCTTCCATAGAACAGATGATCTTTTGCACAACGGACATAGCAAGTTGCTGGGTGATAACATTTTTAGACGAAGGACCTTCATTGTATTATTTCCATCCCTTGGAGCCGCAGTGGCTAAGTGACATGGTTCAAAAGTATGCTATTATTGTGCGTGAATGCGGTTTTCCAAGCGAACAAAAATTTCGATCGTTTTCGATTCGAACTTGGAATAAATGTATCATCGACTACTTTCGAATTCGTTCTGTTTGTTGTTGAATTGAAATTAATTTAAGCTGGCGGCCACTCACCAACCGGACGGCCGTGGTGTTGGCCGAGCAAGTTCCTCGGGATGCTCTACTCGTTTCATAAGCCCGGTCGGTGCTGAACAGTAGGACGTTAAACACCCATTTCATTTGCAATGGATAGAAAGATTCTTTTACGAACACGGCCATGTTTCTCGGGGACTAGGTTTTTCGTCCCAGGCAAGGTGATGTCGCATTGGAAAATTCTGAGGAATTTGGAGCGAAACCTAGACATAATGGATAGAGCCAGCACCTCAATCAATGAGCCAGCACGGCTCCTGAAATGTGAAAGAAAGACAACTTACTTCTTTTGTGGTGTTCTGTCAACTAGAGAAAAACAGCTGAGAAGTAACTAAACTATTACTTATATATGCCAGTCATCATCTGATAAAACATAATCGACTGATGATCGAGATAGTTATTTGAAATTTGATATGTAAATTAGAAATATGTCAATCATTTGGGTTGGGTCAGAAATTAAAAGATAAAATTTGACAATGTCAATCATTTAAAATTCATTACAGATACCGCTTTGATTTCATTGATTTCATTTTTATACTTAAACACCCAGATGGAGAACTAGCAGATCAACAGAATTGAAATTTGGGTATTGTTTTCACATAACAACAAAGTAAACATAAATGGAAGCTTTAAAAGGCCCTTAATATGTTAACCTCTTTAGTAAACTTTCCACAATGACTCGGAACATGGGATCTCCTGGTTTGTGAAACAGTGCCTTACTTACAGCCACCGTGACTCCTTGGACCTCCCCAAAAAAGATACCGACAGATCATGACTGCAGTACATGTCAATTACCCTGACAACAGTGAAGTTAGAGTGGAAGTTAGGCCTATGTAATATTTTCTTTTTTACATTTAAAATATCTGAAAGATTGATATTAATTGAATTTTATTTACCGTGTACAAGTATGTTTTTGTGATTGATGTAGCCCGTCTCCGATAGATCACAATTTGGCGCAATATATTATATCCCGCAGTTTGTGATGTTGCGCCATTAAACAGCTGGTACCGTACCGTAAACCAAAATGGTGACATAATTCAGAAATAATTTTTCTTTCTGCTATTCGGAATTTGTTTATGCATTCATTCATGTGTACTAATATTTTTTTTGGTTTAAGTTTTTTATCTTGGGTGACAAACGAGTGATATAATTGTTTAACTTTAAATTGTTTTCTTGTTATTTTAAACTAATGTAATATATTTCATATTTGTATCTTTAATTGTTGTTAGTTTTCTTGTTTTATTTCATTCTTTGTAGGCCTACATCGGTATTCTAGGTTTTATACCGTTTCTATAGGACAATTACTCTGCAGCTAGTCAGATTTGCTGTTCCATGTTTTCTGGTATTAGATAGTTTCAAGCATGCTTGCAGCGCTCATATTATATTACTGAAGATTAAACACATCTATAATACAATCAGCCAATCCTAACATAGGCCTATACCATATTATGGAAAGCATTTCATATTGGCCCACATGGCTAGTGTTATTTAATTTTTATTTAAACACATTCTACTTGCAACTTTGACATGAGAGGCAATACGGATGTTTTTGTATTCAGATAGAAAAGGACGTTGGAAGATTTTATTTCCCAAAACCGCCTTCGACGGTATCTACGACCAGAATATAACCCAGTCGTTCGTAAAAGTCTTCCAAGTACAAATCCCTGGTTTAATGATCATAAAATGTGTTTAATGGACTTAAGAGAACATTCAATTTATGTTGATGCCTTCCATTCACAGCAGTATTTCAAGATAATAATTTAAAAAGTAATGTTGACGGTTTTGTTATAGGAGCGATTTACTTTGTCACAAAAATTGTCATGCTCTATGAGAAAATCTGACATAATAAAGTCATAATTAAAAGACGTCATAAATAAACGACGTCATAATGAAAGCCACGACTTGATGTTATTGTTGCCATAGAAATGATTGTTCAACCATTCCTTTAGCTTATTTTACTTAACAGGACAGGGCGTCTTTCTACTAATTTCCGCGACTTTTTAGTATAATTCTACAAATCTGTTCCATGGATCCCACGTAAGTATTTGCATGGACATAATACAGTGTATTGTAATATCGCACTGTTTGGCGAGGATAGAATCATGTAAAACAACTAAAACTAAAAGAAATGTCAAATGATTGTAGTTGTATAAAGAAAATTTATTAGCCTACTTAGTACTATAGTTACACGACTTTAAAAAGCATGTCAGCAGTGCCGGACTGGTGGGCCGAAGCCCACCTGTCAGGTCATTGACCAAGGCCCACACAAGTACGCGCCAAAGGCGCGTCACGAGCTCGCCGAAGGCGCGTGAGCGTCCGAGGGGGGTCTCCCTCCAGGAAATTTTGAAAATTGACAACCGCAAACCCATTTTCCAAGCATTCAGACCAAAGCAGAAGAAGGCAAATTTTTGATTTCCTGGTACAATTAGATAACAGAATGACCTAAGAGCACTATCATTAGATGAATTTGAGAATTCTTTTCAGTGTCAAAAGAGGTTAAAAGAAGAATTACACGGTTTTCGGTATAATGTAGGTATGTGGCAGATTTTTTTCAAAGCCGTCCCACATCAAATCTAATAACAAAAATGGAAAGAGCTAATAAAAACCTCATAAATAAGCCCTCATTCAGTATTGTAGCTTCAATAATAAGAAAGTTATGGAATTTCAAACGCTGGAAATCTGGACAATTATTAGCGCTGAAATTTAAACATGCATTATGCAAGAGCAAAATCTGCTTATTACAAGTCTTTCTTTAGCCTTATGCTTGAAATGTTATCTAAATTATCAATTAGACATTAATTAACTTATCCAGGCCATAATAAACTCTCGATGTGAAGGCTAGCCCTCGATGTTGGCTGGATTAGATTCCTATATGCCGCTAACGGCTATTGATAATTAAAGTGGATAATCGAGACTATGCTGTTTATATTAATGATTTTAGTAATGATGACCGAGACTATGCAAAAATTTCAGCCGCTTCTTTCTCGGCTCATCATAGTGGATCAATTTGACTGAAATTTTCAGCATATTACCTTTACACTATCTAGTTTTTAACTATTATAGCGAGAACTGCCATCTCTTTATTTTACCTCCCATAATGTATCTTTAACATGGAAATCAATAGGACAAGTGTGACTGTTTTGGCTGGTTAACTGGATAACAAGGATAAAAATCATCATAACTTCCTTAATATTTGAGATAAAGACACCAAATTTTGAGGGATTGTGGGCATTTAAAAGTGCTATAAGATAAACCAATAAAATCTAAAAAGGAATGAATATAGGTTTATTATATACAATAAATTAATTAGTATTAATTAAATTTTCGATTAATAATTAACGATCATAATATGGTAAGAAACAGATAAAACTTATCATAACTTCCTTAATATTTGAAATAAAGACACCAAATTTGGAGGGATTGTAGATATTTACAAGTACTATAAGACGGAACAATAAACTCTAACAAGAAATGAATATAGGTTTATATATAATCAATTAGTCTTAATTAAATTGTCGATTAATGATTAACGATCATAAGATGATAAGAAACAGATAAATTAAATTTTCGATTAACAATATATAATCATAATACGATAGGAGGCAATATAGCTTAGAATAAGACCTGTAAAATGAAACTACATTGGATGTAATATAATTAAAATATTATTATTATTATTATTCATCTTCTAGAGCGCTTCATTATATCCGGTGATATTTCTAAGCGCTTAACAAATGTCACATCACAGTTTGTAATAATACTTAAACATGATCTCTAGAAGATGACATTGTACAACTTGAAGACGGTTGAGGGAGAAATCTGCGTACATTATACTACAGTAAATACAAGATCCCCAAAAATATAGTCGACAGCGAGTTCGAATCGGCTAACATCGTAATCTGTGCCATCGTCATCAAAAAGATTCACCGTCTCCCCAATAGCAAACAACAAATGCATCTTTCATCTCGCCTGTTCTCTTCTTTCGTATTTTCTCCAATTTTCCATTATAGTGAACACGTATATTGCTGCTATCATCATGCCAATAATGCCCAATGTCTCTTCCGACAGCAGCGCCCGAAAGAATGTCACTTAGTGCAGATGTCTGATCATCTGTCAGGTGGTATTCATCAGCTAGTAGAGTTAGCAGATCTGAGGAACAAGTTTCGCGGATTTTCTTTTCAAGTTTACGTCTGTTTGTCATGTGGTGCTTCTGGGATTTGCTGGCACGACGGAGTGACACTTCTTCAACAATTTTTTTACTAGCTTTCCTACTTTTAACATTATCTTTCCTGGCATGACAAATAGCAAAGTTTATCATGTACTCTTGCTCACAAGTAGGTAACGTATCAAGGTAGGTGTTGGTTCTATTTTTTTCAGCACGTAACTTGGATGAAATGTATGTCATAGTAGCATTAGGTGC